TAAATATTTGTGACTCATTATTGTTTTAGTTACCGTGAAACCTTACAACTTTGCCCTTGGGGGACAACTTTGCCCAAACACGAAAATTAACTAAAACTACCGATAGAAATTTAATTTTAACACGAGGCAACTTTGTATGGCACCTAGAGTAAACTAGAACATATGTTTGGCAACACTGACTACTACAACCGCAGCTAACTACATTCAGTCATCTGTCAGCAACCTTCAAAGTGACGGTGTCGAAGGAGGTGCAAAAACATTGTTGCAGTTTTGCATCCCGCATTGCCACGAAACGCTGCGCAGGTAAGATTCATTATTATTTACGTTTAGGGCATTAATTGTTGCTGCTTTTAATCATGGTCGTTTTCTTACAACTGTCTTAGTTAGCGAGAAAATTGTGTGGGCAATGTTGTAAGCAATTATATAGACTGAGGTCGACAACATTGCCCAACTCAAAAATGTTAATAGGGTTGACAATATTGAAAAAAAAAGGAAACATGTACCTAGGCATAATAAATAAAAACCATATATAATAAATTGAAAATATATAGGTATACTTAATAAAATAAATAAATGTATATAGGTACATCAAAAAAAGAACAATATAATACTACACTATAATACTACCTATATAATATAACTACCGTTCACTGAGAACTAAACTACTGTTATATATATTTTAAATATAATAAATAGGTATATATATTTGTCGGGATTTTTTGTCAGAAACCGCTAGATTCCCAAAAGAGAGAGCTTAAATATTCTCAGTTTCAGGCTAAAGTTTTTTAATAAGATTTATGCGTCATTTCGTTTGCAAAAAAAAATTTTAAGTCTAAAAGAGAATTACGATTTTAGACATTAACGGTCGCAGACAAAAATGACCGACAAAATGGATTGGTACGCATAATAGGTGAACCACGTACATCAGTGGTAACAAAATCGGTATAAGTTGGCCTCGTATTATATTAAATAAGTATCGTCGGCGTCTACTTTTCCTTACCTCAACTATCGGGGTTAATTTCTGAGATAATTTTCTAAAAGTACTTACCTAGTACTATTCTATTTATTTGCAGGATGGTGAAACCTAAAAAGCAAAGCCGAAGACGCCTCGGTGCCAGGTATTACAAAAATTATACTGATGAGATGTTAGATCTCGCAGCTTGGTATACCGAGACGGACCCTTCTGTAGAAAGTTCAAGAGCTGCACCAAAAAAATAGGAGCTCCAACGCGACTTACTGAGGAAGAAGAGAAGAATATAGTAAAAGTGGCAGTTGCAACTGGCGATTTTGGTTGTCCATTATCAAAACTTGACTTGCGAATAATCATATATGAATATTTTAAAAAAATGGGCGTGAGGCAATTTTTAATGGAAATCAACCAGAAGAACAATGGATTTCGAATTTTCTTAAAGCGAAATGCTTCAGAACAGTAGGATCTCGCTGAAAAAAGTGTTGAAGAATTTTTTAGATTATTTCAAAAATTTAGAAGAAAGTATGACAGACGTTCCCCCGTCAAACATATTAAACTTAGATGAAACAAATTTAAGTGATGATCCTGGATCATCGAAATGCATTTTTCGTAGAGGGGTACCCTGAAAGGGTATTAAATTCAACGAAAGGAGCCATTTCATTGATGTTTTCGGCAAGCGTAGACGGAACGAACCTACCACCATATGTTGTGTATAAATCAGAAAATCTTTATTCAGAATGGATAAGAGGCGGTCCACGAGGCGCAAGATATAACCGCACTAAATCTGGGTGGTTCGATTTGTCCACTTTTGAGGACTACTTCAAGACAATAGTTTTAAAATGGGCGGAAGGTTTGCCGGGAAAAAGGTGTTCATATGTGATAACCTGTCAAGTCATCTAAATGTGGACATTATTAAACTTTGCGAAGAACATAACATATCTTTTGTTTTCATTCCTGCAAACTCCACGCATCTTACTCAGCCCTTAGACGTTGCTTTCTTTGCTCCGCTTAAGAAAACTTGGCGGAAAATTTTGCTGCAGTACAAAATGGAAAATCCCAATCAAACATCTTTAAACAAAAATCACTTCCCGAACTTGTTGACGTCTTTTATTAACGCAAAAGACTTTACCAGAACCAACAATATCAAAAGTGGATTCAGAGCTGCCGGAATTTGTCCTTTAAATCCACGTGAAGTGCTCAAACGGCTGCCGGAATATGCTGAAGAACTTGGAAATTACACAGTTGATAGCGCCTTATTAAATTACTTGCAAAAGTGCAGACAACCGAAACCAATAAATGTAAAACGCAATAAAAAAGTTTCAGTAGAGCCTGGAAAGTCTGTTTCAATAGGCGATTTCGATTTGTTTAGTTGTTCAAATCAAGAAGTTACAGAAACTCAGAAATCTAAAAAAAAACAATGGAGTTGCAGCAAAGAAATCAAAAACGACAAAAAAGACTTCTATTACAAATCAAGGTAATCCAGAAAATAATGATCCCGTATTTGACCTTTTCTTAGACAATACAGCTATTGGATAGCCAATAAACCAAGAAGAAGATATTTTGAATGATAGCAATATACTTTTAAACCTGTCATGTAACTTTGATAAAATTGATAAACTTGAGGTATCGGACACCAAAAAGGGTGAAACTGTAACAAAGTGTATCTTATATGAAAAAACTGTGATAGTAGACACTAATAACTTTGATGAAATTAATAAAATTAATGATGGACTAGTACACAATGAAAACGAAGTCGAAACAAGTTGCACTTTGGATAAAAATGGTAAGATAATAGATGACAGTGACGATATATTCAATGATAACGTCGATAAATTTACTGTCGAGCCTGAAGACCAAGAGTAAGAGAATGTATCAAGATGCATTCTAAATGAGAAAACTGGAGTTTTTCAATATACAATTTCTCGAGTGGAGCAAGTTATAAACAACAAACCAGTGTTACGAGATAAAATAAAGTTAACCTCATCTAAAGGCATGTATATTGAAACTGTGACAGGACCTAAAAAGAAGAACATTTAAAAACGACGGCAAGATGGCATCTGACAACATTTACCCTAACATTGTAAATATTTTACCACGTTGTAGCACATCTGAGGATAGTAGCACACAACAAATTATAGACTTAAATGAGAAGAGATAAGAATTAAATGCAAACAACTTAAATATAAAAAAAGTACAAAAATACTAAATACAACGAAAAGTTACAAGACTCAAAACAAAATATATTAACCGAAATAAATACTTCTACTAATGAAACTAAAGTTAATTTGGAGACTGACAAAAATACTGGCAAAGAAAACAAAACTTTTAGACATACTCATTTAAATAACGAAATAAGCAAATGTGCAGATAGGAAAGTAAACAGCAATCGAAAGTCCGGAAAAAAAACTAATAAACCAAAGAAAAAAACAAAAATCAACAAATCAACCATTGAACGAATGATAAAACCAGCCTGGAAAACATATAAGAGAAATATAAGTGAAACAAGTAATAGTGATATCAACATTAGTATTCACATTAAATCAGATATCTGTGACATAGAATCTGATAAGCCCGACAAAGACATTCAAAGTTTAGATACAAAAAAGCCTAAAACACAGTCAATGAAAGATAATAAAACAAAAATAGCAGCGGAAACAGAAAAACCTTCATCGAGCTACGACGACCATTTAAGTGAAACTTGTTCTAAGGTCAATTATGCTGTTGGGGATATTATATTAATCAGATACTTTTTTAAGAAAAAAGTTGATTATTTTGTCGGTGAAATCATAGCAAAAGTAGGAAATGGTAAAGTAAATGTATCATTTTTCAGACGAACAGGTAGAAACGACAATACTAAGTTTATAAAAACCAAAAAACAAGAAGTAGAAATAACTGAGTGTAAGAATATTGTCAAAACCGTGAATTTACTTACAATTAATACCAATGAAACAGAGTTTGTTCTAGATGATGATGATGACTACTTATATTTTGATTATTAGATATCACTTAATTTATCACAATTTAATGTAGGTAGGTGAAAGTAAAAGGTTGAAACCTTATTTTTAAATATTTTATCACGTACACCTAAAATTTATTTACAATAGGTACAACAATAATGATTTCTTGTATTTACGCGAACACTACACATTGAAATAATACTAGTTTTTACGGAATTTATCGCGTATATTTAACTTTTTTAAATACCCGACGTTTCGAGAGCTTTACAGCACCCATGGTCACGGGAAGGACTGAGATGTTCAACGTCCAGCTGTCATAGTTAACCGCGGTTACCATAGATTAAAATTTAACTTTTGTTCCAATCTACACAGTATGAACTTATGGTATCATGGAGTCTTGCAGTTGTATGCTTGGGTTGGGATTTAATTTTATTTATTATAGGATCCCAAGCAGATGGTAGCACCCAGCCATCTTCTCTATTGAAATTAGGATGTTTTTTGATTTCAATAGCCTCGCGAATCATCCTTGGAAGGAATCGGTGTTCTTTAGCGAGGATTTGTGGTCTATCAAATCTGATGTAGTGACGGCGGCGATCCTGTACATGTTCACAGACTGCAGACTTCCCGGAGCGTCGATTCTTCACATCAGCTATATGTTCTTTGACGCGGGTTTTAATTGATCTTTTAGTTTGTCCTATGTAGGAGAGACCACATTCACAATCAAGCTTGTACACTCCTGCATCTTGCAGAGGGACGTTACACTTGACTGATGGTAAAAACTGACCAATCTTCTTCGGCGGCTTGAAGTATGTTTTGATGGAAGCGCGCTTCAAGATGTAGCCAATCTTGTCAGTGACTCCTCTAACATATGGCAGTACAGCAGGTACACGCTCGACTGTGGCCGGCTTCACTCGTTCACTGTGACGTAGGCGCGGGACTCGAAGCTTGTTGTCATGCAAAACTTGCTTGACATGTTGGAGCTCGGCAGCCAGGTGTTTACTGTCACAGATCCCTCGTGCTCTCTGAAACAAAGATTTACCCACGGTAGCTAACTGTGAAGGATGGTGGTGAGAATCACCATTTAAATATCTATCTGTATGGGTCTTTTTTCTATACACAGTATGGCTCAAGGTGTTATCAGGATTCCGAATTACTAACACATCTAGAAAAGCTAAGGAATTGTTTGCCTCTAACTCCATTGTGAACTGAAGTTTAGAATTTATAGAGTTAAGATGATCTAAAAATGCAGTTACTTTATCTAAAGGTAGAATTGTGAAAGTGTCGTCTACGTACCGCTTGTAGAATCTTGGATTTATGGGAGAAGTAAGCAGGGCTTTCTCCTTAAAGTCTTCCATGAATATGTCGGCGACAATGGGAGATACAGGTGAGCCCATCGCCACACCATCTACTTGCTTGTAGAACTCCTCCTTCCACAATAGGTAGCCAGATGTAAGGCAGTGTCTGAGTAATACTGCATATTCTACGGGCATGTTGTTTTCTTCCAGCCTTCTAGTTACAGTTGAGATGCAGTCTTCAACAGGTAAGCATGTAAACAATGACTGCACATCAAAACTGACCATAGTTTCATTGTCTGCCAGACGTAGGTCTTTAATCTCGCTGACAAAATGGTAGGAATTCTTTATGTGTGCTCTTGTATGTCCCCTGAGCGGTGAGAGTATTTTCGCTAAGTGTTGAACCAATCTATAAGTTAGTGAATCGATTTGGCTCACTATGAGGCGTAATGGAGCATTGGGCTTGTGTATTTTTGGTAACCCATACAACTTTGGTGATTTGGCGCACGAAAGTATTATCCATTTTACGTCCAGATTTAATTTTTCGGAGTGTTTCTTTATGAGGTCACTAGTTGTTTTTAGTGTGCTACTTGTTGGGTCGTTTTTAACCTTTTTATAAGTACTTACATCCGACAAAAGTTCTTGTATTTTAGAATTATTATCTGAGGTAACAATGACTATCGCGGCATTTCCTCTTATCTGCGCGAAGAATCGTAAGTTCTGGTTTATTGCGTATTTAACGCTATAAATTCGTCTCTGGGAAGATTCGGTTTAGGCACTGAACATCGACTTAACATAGACGAAATGTCTTGACGTATCGCCTCCAAATCTTCTTTCCGCACATTGTTTTTAACTAAACAGTCCTCGACACTGCAGATAATTTCTTCGTATGGTAATCTGCGTGGAGTTATTGCATAATTGAGTCCTTTGGATAAAAAAATTTGGGTATTTAAAAAGTTAAATATACGCGATAAATTCCGTAAAAACTAGTATTATTTCAAGGTACAACAATGTTGATTTCGAATATGATTTATTTTTAATTATATGCAAATGTGTATTTAGAGGATGCTCGATTTAGCATTATAATGTCAACATTGTAGATTTATACTGTTCTGGAAAACTCTTATGATTTCAAGAAGACTGAGTATTATATTAATCTGTGATTGTAGTGCCATAGTTCTAGTGCTGGAACTAAGTTCATTCGTTTATTTATTTTTTAAACTTCTAATCATAAAAATCGAAACACCCCACGAGTTTATGCTTTGAAAATATTATCTGAAAAATTTGTATATTTAGGAATAAATAATAAATAAATAAAAATATTTTTTTAAATAAGCAGAATGAGAACATTTATTTTTATATAAAAAAATGATATTATACGTTAAAACTAATTGTTTTTGATCATCTTTAAAAACATAAACTCGTGAGGTGTATCGATTTTTCTGATGAGAAGTGTATATACTTATACCTATAATTATTAGCTAGAATCTTAATCAAAGACTGTTAGTAAGTAGTTTTTTTTTTAAATTTGTCAATTTCAGAAGGTAATTCTTGAACTAAGCACTATAAGGATAATGTTGTAGGCTGTTATATGTTAATTTTGGTATTTTTTGTTCTAGAAGAGATATCTTGTTAATTTTTTTTTTGTAGGAGGAGCGATAATCTGCCTTGGGTGCGTGTGATAAAAATTTCTGCGCTGCTTACTTTTTTTAAAACTAATACTCACGCAGGTAACTAACAGGCACGCTTACGTTAGCAGAGACCTTTTTATTTTTTATTAATATTTAATAGGTACGTTACCTACCAACTACCTATAAACATTGATTTTCTTGATTTTTGTTGTTGTTTAATTCGTTGTTGTTTTTAATTTTAAAAATAAAAAATACAATGCCTCAAAATCAATTTATTATTTTCCTTTCATCTGAGGCACAGCCCTAGCACCTCAAATCTCTTAGTATGAAAGTGTGACTAAATATGGTGATAACATTGCCCACCGCCATTAAAACTTAAAATGGACTTCTATTTATTTGAAAATGTATTGTTATTCAATATTGTCGATTTGCTAACAATATATCTTAAAATCAAAGTCATAGAGCTTAAACTTGCTGAGAAATTTAGGTTGAGCAAAGATGTAAGAAAGTGGAGATAACTTTGCCCGCGTCTGTTTTTGTTTTTTTTCTCATCATCTGTTGGGAAATAATTCACCTGGTTGTGACAGTTTATTTGTTGTATATAGTGTCGTTTAAAGCTTTAGCAACCATCAAAATAAAGTGGATATTTTTTGAAAAAAGTAATAAAAACCGAAATATGTGGGCAAAGATGTAAGGTTTCACCGTACCCTTTTCTTTTACGTTTATATAAAAAAATATAATTCCCTTTATTGGCATAGAATTATGCATTTAACTTTGGGGTCTTTTAGACCCTCACGCGACCGCTTATGTCACAAAATGAGACGCGAGTACTGGCGGGTTAATATTGTTTACCTACCTACATGAATGCATAAATTATTATCAATTTCCATAAGTGATTCTTCATGTAAATTGATGGAGGAAGATGTTGGAATACAGGCTTTTGTTTCCTAAAACTTAATTATCTTTAAAACATTTAATTAATACAAAATAGGTGTAGAAAGATGCTTTTTACAGAAAATTGAATTTAAAGTTCTTGGTATTTTAAACTCTGAACGAGATTCAAGTTTTAAAATTGATTTTTAAAACTTGAATCGCGTTCAAAGTCTAAAAGAAGCTTGTCTCAGTCATTTATTGCTATTAAAATGCACAAAATTATGCTTGCAACTAACAAGACAATTGTACTAGATAGTACTAGTATGTCATTAACTGAATATTTAACAGAATTGGTACAGCATAAGGTAATAGCAGAGCAAGTTTGTGCTTTTATTTATATTAACATTTTATCCTTAAAATGTCAGCTGCAAATTTTTGATGACGGTTTTGGTGTCCAGTCTGTTCGTCCTGTAGCTACAATCCAATTCCGATGTAAATTATCATGTTCAGGAGAGCTGCAACAAACCATTAAATCTTTCAGATAGGTATTTAATTAATAGACACTGCAGAATACATATCTGTACACCGGAGGCAAATGATCATAAGTCACATTAAGCTAATTGTACAGTGCACACATTTTACAATCAGATCTCAATTTGAACATTACTCACATATGTCACTTTACTACACAATTGTGTAAAGTTCTAAATAAAAAATTAATTGTTGCTTAAAAGTAGGTTAATTGGTAGTTTTTAATTACAACAAGATATTAATAAAAATGTAATTAATTAATTAAATTTATAGACTTGGGACATGCTACCTCTGAACACTAAAAATTATTTTTTATAAGTTACATGTAATAAAAGAATATCCTGAGTCCTGATTCTCAAGGCACAATAAAAATCATGTTTCATTTAATCATGTAACTGACTTTGAAATTTGAAATGGTTCCTTATCAATATTTACTTTTCTATTAATAAAGGGACCATTAGTAAATAATAAATCTTGAAAATTTTAAAATCTTCAAGTTCCATGTTGTTGACTGTATATTTGTAAGAACATAGCCGAATGAATTGTTGTCAGTCCCAAGGTGTTAATATTATAAGTAGGGTCCAGATTAATACGTAAATCCATATTTTTACTTAAAATGGTTTTTGTTCTTAAATATATTTTCTACATAAATTGTGATATTTTGATCAAGAAAATGCAATTTCTATTTTTCATATTTATCCATATTTCAAATATA